CCCATAGCACACCCATGTTTCTGCCTATAATATTGCTCCCCATATGTGAAGTAGGTTGACTGCAGGCACAGTTTCAAGAGTTGACACAGTTGTTCTGTAGAAAGTGTGGTCCTGCTGCTCAGAGTGGTGTCTGATTTTAATTTTAAACTGACCACCTCTACTGCATCATCAACAGGAATGCATGTAAAGAGTGATGTTACATCAAAAGAGACCATTGTTTCATCAGTCTCCATGATGACATCCCTCACCTTGTCCACAAAGTCCATGGTGTTCTGTATGTGGTGTGAGCTGCCAACTAAAGGGATGAGTACAGACAGTTGTCAGCAGCAAAACTGGTTGATCCACTCTGAGAAGGTGCTATTTAAGAGACTGAGCTGAATACAGCTCCTCAGACTGAGGAAGTCTCTCGGATGAGAGACGAAACGTTTCTACATTTTTTTGTTGATTTGCTTTGTTTTTTTTGAATGTCCAGAGGACCAGATTTAACTTTTTTAGATTTTTCTACCTGGATTATTGAGCATGCATCAGGATAGAGTAACAAAGACTTTAAGAAACCCCTACTGTTAAGGTGTTTAGGTGTGAATTGCCAATCTACATATGTGTGTGTCTTATCTCACTCAGCCTTATAACCTGAATCTCTCACTCACTGCTCTTGGAATTGAAAAAGCTCCTCGGATCAGGAGCGAAACGTCTTCTGTTACAAATAAAGTCCAGTTGTTTTTGTATTGAACGCTTTTTGAATTCATCGTGTCCTGGATGACTGAGAATCTTCACCAGCTAAATGGCTGAAGAAAAAAGCTATTTGGGAGCCAATTGCCTGGTCTCACCGTAATTTATATGGACCGGGGGTGAGGCACACACAGCCAGTGGGCGCGGACTAAAGTTTTCAGTGCTGCGCTGCGCACGAAGGGATAAACCCACTAGCGATAGCTTTAAAAGACTGTTTAAAGTCTATTTAAAAGACTTTAATAGCTTTGGTCTGAATGACTATCGGCCAGTGGCCCTCACCCCGATAGTCGCTAAATGCTTCGAAAAACTGGTCATGACTCACATCAAAACAACCATCAACATCAACGAGGACCCTCATCAGTACGCATACCGTGAGAACCGATCAACAGAGGATGCAATCTCCTCTGTGGTCCACACTGCACTCAACCACCTGGAGCAGAAAAACTCTTACGTCCGTATGCTCTTTGTGGACTTCACATCCGCCTTCAACACCATGATCCCCCAAACCCTGATGGACAAACTATCCACACTAGGACTAAGCCCCTCCATCTGCAACTGGGTACTAGACTTTTTAACAAACAGACCACAGTTAGTGAGGATCCACAACCTCTCCTCCTCCACCATAACCCTCAGCACTGGCTCTCCTCAGGGATGTGTGTTGAGCCCCCTCCTGTTTACTCTGCTCACGTATGATTGTGCAGCTACCCATCCAGGCTGTCACATTGTAAAGTTTGCAGATGATACAGCGGTGGTGGGATGCATCACAAACAATGATGAGTCCAGCTACAGGCAAGAGGTGGAACACCTGGAGAGCTGGTGCAAAGAGAATAACCTTCACATCAATGTGAAGAAGACAAAGGAGATGATTGTGGACTTCAGAAGGAACAAAAACATCTACACCCCCCTGAACATAAGAGGATCTGCGGTGGAAGTGGTCTCCAGCTACAAGTACTTGGGTGTACACATGAATGACAACCTCAGCTGGAGCAACAACACCACCAGCCTGATCAAGAAAGCTCATCAGAGACTCTACTTCCTCAGACGGCTGAGGCGAGCTGGTCTGGGAAGCTCAGTCCTCACCTCCTTCTACAGGTGTGCAGTGGAGAGCATCCTGTGCTCGAGCATCAATGTGTGGCATGGAGGCTGCACAGCTGCAGAAAGAAAAGCTTTGCAGAGAGTGGTGAAGGCTGCACAGAAATCTGTTGGAGTCAGTCTCCCCACCATCACAGACATCTACACCTCCAGATGCAGGAAGAGGGCCACCTGCATCATGAAGGACCCCACTCACCCAGCACACACACTTTTTGCCCCACTCCCCTCAGGAAGGAGGTTAAGGAGCATTAAGTGTAGAACCACTAGACTGAGGAACAGCTTCTACCCTGAGGCTGTTAGACTCATGAATCTCTAACTAGAATAATCACTGTGAAAAACCATATCATGTTGCTGCTGATCTGTTTCATGTTGCTGCTGATCTGTTTCAATGTTGATGTGTTCATGCGTGCACATCTGCTCACAGACTCATGTTCATGTTTGTGGTGATGTTCAATGTTTTATGTTATGAGTGCTTAGTGTATATTTAGTTGATGTTTTTCTTAGTTCATATCTTAGATGTTATTACTGTTTTTCTTATACATTTTATTGTTGGATGTAACTGGGATCATGTGTACATAATTTCGCTCCACCACATGTACCACATGAGGTGCAAATGACAATAAAGAAACTCTGACTCTGACTCTGACTCTGAAAAGGGCTGCGCCTATACTCATAGAATCTGGGGTTACAGTACATAACCAACGTCTTTGATGCCCACTCCCTCACACATATACATTTAGAACAATGACCTTTCTTATTTTAAGCATAAAATAACTTACTTCTGCTAAATGAGCTTTAAAAATAAAATAATTAATTACACGTACGGTAAGGTCAGAACAACAGGTTTCAACACCTGAATAAAATTATCCTAAAAATATTTTATAGTTTACCAACAGCAATGTCCCATGTATTTATACTCTTTTGTATTTATTTATTTGTTAATTGTTAGGCTTCTTGATCTGGGACCTGAGTCTGAAAGTTGTACCATAAACATGCAAATGTGAGATGGTATGGAAAAAAAATTAAAAAAATCCTTGAATCCTTGGATTTATTTGGGAGGGGCTGTACTCTACTGAAACCAGCAAACATATGTTAGGTCCTGTTCAGACTTCTACTTCTAGGTTTCTATCAGAGGTTAATCAATGCACAGTCTATGATACTAACTTGGACTTTGACATTTTGAATGCAGCGTAACATCAAAGCACCAGCCTAAATGTTACTCAAAACCAGCAAGCATTACTATTAAACATACACAACAAATACTGTGAACATGTATCTGCAATTGGTCTGCCGTGTCTATTTAATGAAGCCAAAGAACCAAAATTTGAAGACTGGTATTGTGACAGGAACTACTTATCTAACAAGTATGAACATAAATTTAACCCTTTGTCAGAATGGATTTAGAGTTCTTACTCTGGATTCTTTAAATCTGACAGCAACAACCCGTCTCTCTCTCTCTCTGTGTGTGTGTGTGTGTGTGTGTGTGTGTGTGTGTGTGTGTGTGTGTGT